TGTTGACATTTATTCGAGAGAAAACAATGCTAACTGAAACTTTCTGCCATACACCACGCCCACCAAAATGGTACCTTTGGTAGTGGAAACGCAAGCCTGATAAAGGTGACCTGTACCGACCAGTACCGTACCATACCGTACAGTACCAGTCAGTGGAAATGGGCCAAAAGTGTACCTTAAAGGTGCTAATGTGCAACTGTAAAGTACTGTACAAAAGTGTACCTTTTGAAAAGGTACCACCTCAGTGACAGCTTTTGTACGTTTATTTCTGAGAGTGTACAGTATAATTACTGAAATATTTAAGACCCAGCTTTTATTAAAAAGTGACAGAAAAACAGTGTGAATCTAGAGACAAATGAGTGACATGATAAGTTCTCACTACCAGTTATTTCCAGTTTCCAGAGATCTAACACATTTAGTTTAGTCAAGAATTAGCCTTAAATGTAGTTCACTCAAATTCTATCATAATTTACTCACTCTATTTGTTTAAACTGACAAAATGTGAAAAGGTTACATTTGCTTGTGAGATCAGGCTAAAAACATGCAATATATCTTCGGCTTTGTCCTTGCTTTATCAGGGGTCGCCACAGCAGAATGAACTGCCAATCACTCTAGTATATGTTTTATACAGCGGATGCCCTTCCAACTGCATTTAACAGTTCATTGAAACCAAAATTATATCCTCTTTATATTGCATTTTAGTACTGCTGCCGTAGAGCCACCCATAAATACTGTTTTCCTGATTTTTTAAAAAACATGCTCTTGGTCCTTCAATCTAAAAGTGCTGCATGGATTTAAAACACGCCCTAAAACACACACACTCACACTCTCTCTCTCTCTCTATCTCCTCAACCCTGAGACTTTCACTGACAGAGTGCAGAGAGTTCTGCAGTTTCTTCCTCTTTGACCTTCATACATTCCCTTACTGCAGATATACTATGGCCACGCCCTTCTTGCAGCCTGTGAATCCCTGATTGCAATTTCCACTCAATAAAACCAGTTAGGAGCAAACTGTCAATGAACAACATGTTAAAGCGATAGTTCAGCCAAAAATGAAAATGTACTCTGTTTACTCACAATCAAGCTGCTCCCTAATATTTATTGTTTTGACAAATTCTACACCTAAGCACCTAGGGCTGCACGATATTGGAAAAAACGGACATTGCGATATATATTGCGATATAAATGCAATTTCATAAGATTACTTGAAAAGCTTGTTAAGAATTCATAATTCATGGATCGATTGGAATGATCGTGTAGAGGAGTGTATCTGTATAAAATATCATTTAAAAAAAGATAAGCATATTTAAATAAAACCAACAAAAGAAGCAAATAAACAATGATTTAGGATTTTCTGGTGAGTCAAACAGTATTTAGAAGCAGAAATGAAATAATCATAGTATAATAATAATAATAATAATAATAATAATAACAACAACAACAACACTATACCATTTTAATTGAGTAAAAATGTACAATTAACCTTTAAGCTACAGACTTTTAATTTACTTCCCCCGAATGTTTAACTTTGTTCAAAATTCTTACAGTCAAGTAAAAAAAATAAAAATGTAAGTAATAAAGTTTTTTTAGTTTAATGTTACTTAGAATGTCTTATACACATTCATATCTATCTGATTGTCTGTCAATATGCGTTTTTTGACTGTTTGGTGCCATCTTGATTCTGAATAATGCACACGTTAGTGTGGACTCCATCAGCTGTTTTAGTTTCTGTCAGCTTTGTGTTTTGACTGTTTAGCGTCATCTTGTGTCTGAATTATGTGCAGGTTAGTGTATACTCCATCAGCTGTTTTAATTTCTGTCAGCTTAGTGTTTTTGGCTGTCTGGCGCCATCTTGTGTCTGAATTATGTGCAGGTTAGTGTATACTCCATCAGCTGTTTTAATTTTGGTCAGCTTTGTGTTTTGACTGTTTGGCGCCATCATGTGTCTGAATAGTGTGCAGGGTAGTGTATACTCCATCAGCTGTTTTAGTTTCTGTCAGCTTTGTGTTTTTGACTGTTTAGCACCATCTCTGAATAATGTGCAGGTTAGTGTATACTCCATCAGCTGTTTTAGTTTCTGTCAGCTTTACATTTTTGACTGTTTAGCGTCATCTTGTGTCTGAATTATGTGCAGGTTAGTGTATACTCCATCAGCTGTTTTAGTTTCTGTCAGCTTTGTGTTTTGACTGTTTAGCGTCATCTTGTGTCTGAATTATGTGCAGGTTAGTGTATACTCCATCAGCTGTTTTAATTTCTGTCAGCTTAGTGTTTTTGGCTGTCTGGCGCCATCTTGTGTCTGAATTATGTGCAGGTTAGTGTATACTCCATCAGCTGTTTTAATTTTGGTCAGCTTTGTGTTTTGACTGTTTGGCGCCATCATGTGTCTGAATAGTGTGCAGGGTAGTGTATACTCCATCAGCTGTTTTAGTTTCTGTCAGCTTTGTGTTTTTGACTGTTTAGCACCATCTCTGAATAATGTGCAGGTTAGTGTATACCCTATCAGCTGTTTTAGTTTCTGTCAGCTTTGTGTTTTTGATTGTTTGGCGCCATCTTGTGTCTGAATATTGTGCAGGTTAGTGTATACTCCATCAGCTGTTTTAGTTTCTGTCAGCTTTACATTTTTGACTGTTTAGCGTCATCTTGTGTCTGAATTATGTGCAGGTTAGTGTATACTCCATCAGCTGTTTTAGTTTCTGTCAGCTTTGTGTTTTGACTGTTTAGCGTCATCTTGTGTCTGAATTATGTGCAGGTTAGTGTATACTCCATCAGCTGTTTTAATTTCTGTCAGCTTAGTGTTTTTGGCTGTCTGGCGCCATCTGGTGTCTGAATTATGTGCAGGTTAGTGTATACTCCATCAGCTGTTTTAATTTTGGTCAGCTTTGTGTTTTGACTGTTTGGCGCCATCATGTGTCTGAATAGTGTGCAGGGTAGTGTATACTCCATCAGCTGTTTTAGTTTCTGTCAGCTTTGTGTTTTTGACTGTTTAGCACCATCTCTGAATAATGTGCAGGTTAGTGTATACCCTATCAGCTGTTTTAGTTTCTGTCAGCTTTGTGTTTTTGATTGTTTGGCGCCATCTTGTGTCTGAATATTGTGCAGGTTAGTGTATACTCCATCAGCTGTTTTAGTTTCTGTCAGCTTTGTGTTTTGACTGTTTAGCGTCATCTTGTGTCTGAATTATGTGCAGGTTAGTGTATACTCCATCAGCTGTTTTAATTTCTGTCAGCTTAGTGTTTTTGGCTGTCTGGCGCCATCTTGTGTCTGAATATTGTGCAGGTTAGTGTATACTCCATCAGCTGTTTTAGTTTCAGTCAGCTTTGTGTTTTTGATTGTTTGGCGCCATCTTGTGTCTGAATATTGTGCAGGTTAGTATATACTCCATCAGCTGTTTTAGTTTCTGTCAGCTTTGTGTTTTTGACTGTTTAGCGCCGTCTTATGTCTAAATAATGTGCAGGTAAGTGTATACTCCATCAGCTGTTTTAGTTTCTGTCAGCTTTGTGTTTTTGACTGTTTGGCACCATCATTGTGTCTGAATTACATGCAAGTTAGTGTATACTCCATCAGCTGTTTTAGATTCGGTCAGCTTTGTGTTTTGACTGTTTAGCGCCATCTTGTGTCTGAATTAAGTGCAGGTTAGTGTATAATCCATCAGCTGTTTTAGTTTTTGTCAGCTTTGTGTTTTGACTGTTTAGCGCCATCTTGTGTCTGAATTAAGTGCAGATTAGTGTATAATCCATCAGCTGTTTTAGTTTCGTCAGCTTTGTGTTTTTGACTTTTGGCACCATCTTGTGTCTGAATAATACATGGGTTAGTGTATACTCCAGGGGTGGCCAACCCTGTTCCTGGAGAGCCACCTTCCTGCAGATTTCAGTTTCTACTCATATCAAACACACCTGAACCAATTAATTAGGACCTGAACACCATGTCATAATTACAGGCAGGTGTGTTTGATATAGGTTGCAACTGAAATCCGCAGGAAGGTAGCTCTCCAGGAACAGGGTTGGCCACCCCTGGTATACTCCATCAGGTTACATTTTAAAATGACTCCCATTGTTGTTAACTAATGTCTGGTCAACTGTAATCCCTGTGATGTGACTATTGCAAACTCGCACATCAATGCTAATATGATACATTTTGCAACCTTAAACCCAAACCTTACAGTTATTAATGTTGATAACTGATTAATCATGTTAATGACTATTTCAATGTATAAAACAAAGGAACTGGGGTTGCATCAGACAATATCGTGAGATCTAAGTTGCAATGTTGACCACACATTGTGCCAATATTCAAACATGACCATGTCGTGCAAAACACCACAGCTGATTTGTATAAAACCAGATACTGTATGTGCTGCTTATTTGCATAAACCCTAACAACACTTCATTTAAATAAGTAAACAAATCATTATAAAAAATGAAAGCACTTTATTTCCTCTTAAGATCATGTTGTCATCACATCGGACAGATTACATACTATCACAGTTCTTGAAAGCTAGTTTTAAGATGAAAAAAAAAGAACAAAACAAAATTAGAACACCTATTGGAGAAAAAAAAACAACACAAATAGAGAACTATAAAAAATATAAAACTTGAAAATATCTATCAATTAATCTCCATTTTAATCTCTAAGTACCATTTCAAAACATAATTTAAACACTTTTTTTTCTTTTACACAAAATCAAGCAGACAAATGAATCGGAAACATTAGTTTTCTTTTAAATAGAAGAAATGTAATCATCTTGCCATGCAGAGAATGTAACATTAAATATTAATTCAAACAAAAATAATATATTTCTCTCTTTTTATAGAATTTTTTGTGTCTAGATTATATAGATAATATATAGATATTTTAAATTCAAGTCAAAACACTCACCCTACCTTTATAGGGAAACATTTACCACAAATATAATCTAACAATGCTTTCATAGCTGCCATCAGTAGCATGGCTGTCATTCAGGAACATTAAAAACAAGGGATTTCAGCAAAACCTTTTTTTTTTTTTTTTTTTTTTTTGGCACAGAAAACCACACATAACGCCAGTAGCATCTGTTTTGTAAAAAGACAAGAAAAGATTAAGCTTTTGTCTGATTCTTTTCAGTTTAATAAAAAAAAAAAAAAAACATTCTGTGCATCGCTTTAGTCCAGGAGAGAGAGTGTATGTGCATCTCCTGAGCATTTGCTTGAGGCCAGTGGTGTATGTCCCAGAGTTTGTCGCTACTGCAGCATGCTTTTAATCGTTTTAGTGGTCGACTCATCATTAAGATGTTTTGTTGTGTACCTGCACAGAAGACATTAAGTATTTATTATATTTACAGCAGTATTTTGCCACGCGTCAAGCCATCTTAAAGGAATAGTTCCCACAAAAACTGCAATTTTCCCGATAACTTACGCACCCTCAAACTATCCTTGGTGTATAAGACTTGATTTCTGTCAGACAAACACAGTTGGAGTAGTTTAAAATGTTATCCTGGCTTCCATGCAGCAGAATGGTGTTGGATAGTTTATTTTGAAGCTTGCAAAAATGCCTAAATATGTCGACAAACTAGCCTACACTGCAAAAAAAAAAAAAAAATTGCTTTTCTTATTTGGAGTTTGTGTCCAAATATCTAAAAAAAAATAATGATAATAATAATAATGAATAAATAAATAAATCGCAAAATCAAGAAACACTTTTTAGCGAAAAAATGTCATATTAAATGTCAAATTAATTGAGACACAAGACGATCTATCAAAGTGTAAGGGTGCAGCAGTCAAACGCAAGAGGCATGCAGGGCACTTAAACAGCACACCTTCGTTATACAATAACTTGCCTAATTACCCTAACCTGTCTAGTTAACCTAATTAACCTAGTTAAGCCTTTAAATGTCACTTTAAGCTGTATAGAAGTGTCTTGAAAAATATCTAGTAAAATATTATTCACTGTCATCATGACAAAGATAAAATAAATCATTTATTAGAGATGAGTTATTAAAACTATTATGTTTAGAAATGTGTTGAAAAAATAGTCTCTTCGTTAAACAGAAATTGTGAGAAAAAAACAGGGGGCTAATATTTCAGGGGGACTAATAATAGAATGACTTCAACTGTTATAAAATATCTCATATATACATGCATACATATTCAACAGTTCTGTCTGGTTCTCGAATCTGATTGGCTGATAGCTGTGCGCTATTCTCCAATATCAGCACTCGTACAGCCTCTTAACACTTGTATAATAATCCAACCACATAGAGTAAGAGTAGATCAATAAACGCACTACAGTTTAAAAAATATTGCAGCTGTTAGACAACATAATGTACTTTTGAGCCTTTTTTTAGTCGAGAATGTAATTGTTTAGTGTGCAACTATGCAGCTTATTTATAAAGTGCTTATTTTAAATATAGAATTTTACAAATTCAGCACCAATTAGCCTGTTATTGACCAGAGCAAAAGCGGTTGACTTTCTGCCACAAGATGCCGACAGAGGCTGCATAGTGCGTCGTTTGGGGAAGAAAAACTCAGTGAAAAAAAATAAAAAATTCTAATTCATTACAGCTGAACAAATCATCATAAAACAGGTAAGTGACATTCTAAGTCAATCTCTCTCTTCTGTATAGTGCTGTGTTTATAATATAATCTTAAATTGTGAGCAAAATTCCCTGTTTTGTCCTCACTTTAGACATTACGCTACAGAATCATTTAAATACTAGCTCCAAAGTGACTTTGGTGAAGTAGTAATGGCCTCTGCTGTTCTGACATATAAATGTGTAAAGAAATACATATGTAGTTCTTTATACACATTTTTTCATAGTTTTAAAATAAGTTTTAGAATAAAAGTTTTGATTTTATGCATACATTTGTGCATACGTTATGATACACAATGAGACACAATATTCTTTGTTTGTCTAGAGCACAGGTGTTAAACTCAGTTCCAAAAGGGCCGCAGCTCTGCACAGTTTAGTTCCAACCCTAATTAAACACACCTGATCAAACTAATTGAGTCCTTCAGGCTTGTTTGAAACCTACAGGTAAGTGTGTTGGAGCAGGGTTGGAACTAAACTGTGCAGGGCTTCGGCCCTCCAGGAATTGAGTTTGACACCCCTGGTCTAGATCAAGGGTGTACAAACTCTGTCCTAGAGGGTTGAGTTGAGCTCACACTTGCTTTAACACTCCTGCAGGAAGTGTCTAGTATCAACCAAGAGCTTGATTAGCTGGTTTTGGTGTGTTTGATTAGGGTTGGAGCTAAATTTCCCTGGACACCGGCCCTCCAGGACCGAGTTTTGAGAGCCCTGGTCAAGATGATTCCTTTTGATTTAAAATATTTTAGATATTTGCACTTATATTTTTCTAAAAACAAGAAACAATAATGAGTGTCTTGTGAAGTGAATCGATGTGTTTTCGTATTGGAGGCTCCATGATTTTTTTTCAGGAACCACTTACCACACATTTTGTTTAACACAGGAAAAAAAAACAATACAGTTGGCTTGGCATTTGGCATTACTGTATAACGTTATTCAGTAAATTACTATTTTAAAGATACTTACAGTATATGTGTCTACCCGTCTTACATCATACATTATATACATCAGTTGCCAAGGGAAGTCGGTGATTGGAGTTTATCATTTAAAATTTTGAAATATCTCTGTTACAAAAACTCGTTGATCCACTTCATTAGAAATGTGTTAACCACCTCCCGCCATATAGGTTAGATTGACAATGGATTTGTGTGCTTTTGGAAGCTTCTACTATCCACTATCCAACACCATTATACAGAATGAAGGGATAAAATTTAACTACTCCAACTGCTTTCATATGACAGAATAAAGTCTTATACACTAAAAATGAGGGTGAGTAAATTATAGGTTATTTATTTTTTTTTTTTTTACTTTTATCACACTTTTAAATTTCATAATTGTGACATTGAACTGGTATACTGTATATACTAAGTAATAATACAATAAAACAAAGATTACTTTTGTCTTTTTTGACCTACCAATAACTAACAGACCAACCAATACCCCTGTAAAAATAAAATAATGCTTAGATATGAGTTTTTTAACCCTCTGTGATTTGGCTTCCAACCTCAGATAAAGATTATCTTAACCAAACAGTTGATTTTAAAATAATAAAGGCTATTATACTACTTATGCTCCTCTTTCTTTTCAAACAAACAAACACAAAAGCATACATACAAATCTAAATAAATAAGTGACTTTATTTAAATAATTTGATTAAATAAAAAAAAAAACAAGCTGCTAATTTTTTATTATATTTTATTTAAAAACAATAAATAAAAAAGGCATATCAGTACATAACATTAGCCACATTACTATTTATTTTAAACTGATGATTTTTAATTATTAAATATTAACAAATTTAATGAAATATTTAGCATTTTACTTTAAAAAAATAAATGTATAAGCTTAAGGAGTGAAATTTTTAACTGTTAAATTTAAAACAAAAAATAGATAAATAATACTAAAAGTTTAATAATAGGCAAACTGTCAAGTTGGTTTGTGGAATAGATTACCTGAGAGCATTTAGAAGACCTTCCACACTGTTTGGAGGCTGATCTTTGAGCACTTTAATGCATCCTTTCATCTGTTTGGGAAAAAAAAGCAGTCAATGTAACAGTGGCAGTGTAATGACAGCACTCAACCTCATGAGTCATCATGATGCTGTGAGAAAGCCATCATCACGTTTTTCTAAGCACTCTAATTATGAGTCAGTGTTAGGGACGAGAGGGAGGTGGAAAACTCCAGCGATGGCTTTGCAGCAAACAGGAGATAGTGGTTTTAACTCACGTCTATTTTTGAGGACTTTGCGAATGCACCAACAGGATGGACATAGTCATAAAGGATGATGACCCCGACCATGACACGCAGACAGAAGGAAACGGTCTCCTCACTGCTGAAGCGGCTGCGGTATTCTCTGTATCAAAAACCAAAAAATGAATCAAATATTTTTTAACTTTGTCTTTAATTCCTAGTTTCAAATTGATTCTATTTGCTTGTTAATACAGATCAAACGTTACGGTGTCAACAGGCAGTTAAAAATAAAAAATAAAAGACTTACGGGGTTTCCAACATGACTTTGCAGACACTTGCCATGGTACTCAATACATCTGTGGTGTTCTCAATGGGCAAGTTTTTATTCTGTTAGGAAGAGAGAATAAAATAATTGTTTCACTTTCAAAATGTCAGATTTGAACTGTTTAAAAAGCAAGAACAAAACAATTTGGTACCTCAGATACGAATTTTGTTGTGCCGTCACTTAATGTTTTCAGCATCGGTGTGGCGTCGGCATAAAATAGAGATATCCGATTGGCCAGCTCATTATTGACTTCATTTTCTCCCTCTGCCTAAATGAAAAAGACACCAAAAAGTTGATGAATTAAAGCAAAAAGAAACTTTACAAAACAGTTTTGAACATATTCTTCCTTCTGACTTGTTTTGGAGTCTATGGGCCCAATTATACACCGGTGCAATAAGGTGCAAGATATGTTTGGCACGTTTTGTCGTTATTTTCAGACCAGCGCAACCCTAAATTTCACATTTTGTGAAACGTAGTTTAAATAGCAAATCAATTTAGTGTTCCGGTCTTAAATTGAGCTGTGTTAAGGCACAGCGTTGGCGCGTTGCTATTTTGAAGAACTGAAATAGACCACGTCATATGGGGCATAAGAATTAGATGTTTGTTTGTTTGTCTAGAACTCCGTTTTATGACCACATTTCCTTATTTTTGTTTGTTTGCTGGAAATTAGAACTGAATTTAGAAATAGTTTTGAAACAAATCTTTGCGCTTAACAAACTAAATAAATATGTAGGCTAATGGATGTCTTCAGTGAATAGTGTACAACACTGTTTCCTTACTCCAACAACGTAAAGGAGTAAAATAAAGAGTAAAAGTAAAGAGAAAAAGAAAAGAGGCTGAATGAAGGAGGCTCGTTCTTTATGCTCGTGCAGATGGTCTGTGAAAGTGAAGCATTCAGTCTTTCCACTAACAAAGTCTGCCATGTACAGTAAATAGCAAATGCGCCATGGTGTGACGCAACTGACTCTTAAAGGGAGGAATGGGAGACAAGAATCTATTTGGTTTAATGCATGTTATGTTCAAAACACACTCATAACTCATTAAGAGAATAAGCACAACTCTGTTAGACCATATACCAGGGGAAAAATCATATTTTTTTTCAAATAGCAGAAGGGGTTTCGGAGATGCCCTCAATGCTTTTGCACCATGCGCTTTAGACTTTGTGCCTAGATCGTTAAAATAGAGCTCAATGTCTCATGAAAATGATTAACAGAGGAACATAAAGGGCGGGACGTGAAGACGGATGAGCATTAAGAGACTTTTTTTCCCCTGTGCCCCAATTTCTCAAGTGCAAAATCAGTCAAAAATGCTAATACATCATTAATGTACTGCATATTTAAAATTTAATCCTTTAAAATGGATGGATTTTTCTAAAACCTAGAGCTAATATGAGGAACAAGTGACATCAGCCAAATTTTGAGTATGCATAGCAGAACTTTAAGCAACAAAGGAATAACTTAGAATTCTGCTAGTCACTTTGATTAGATCAAAGGTAAGATGAGAGAGTTTATTCCCATTTGCACGGGTAAATTATAGTACATGTAAATGGGAGCTTTAAATTAAAAAAAAAGTGTTAAATATTAAAACTTAAAACCAAGTAAAAACTTTTGAAGACCATCATGAATAAAATTTTAGACTCATACAGGGCTAAACACCAAGTTTTACAAATATCCAAATTGGAACAGATTTTGATTTGCCCTATAAAGAAAATATTGTAACGTGATAAATGTAATAAGAAGGTTTATTCCACTGTCAAGTCCTCTGATAAATAAGACTAAGCTGAAAGAAAATAAATGAATGGATTAACGTAATAATGCAACAATAATAATAAAACATTCAAATTATTTAAATAATTAACATTAACTTTTATTTTAAATAAAAAAATGTATAAATATTATAAAAGTTTTAAAAACTATAATAAACTAAATGTATGTCTGTCCAGGTCAGTGTCATCAGCAGTAAATACATGGGAAACTTTTAAACAAACGTTATTATAATGAAAATAATTAAACAATTATGGTAAATAGAATTTAAAAAAACGTTTTATTGAGATGAATTGTTACTAATTGAATGGGTGTTAGCCAGATTGGGTAGCTTCACACGAACAAAGGAAAATTAAAACCCGTTTAAAAAAAGGTTCAAGACCTACGAGACAATATTACAATAAATTTAAGACTTTTTAAGACCTAAAATGTAGTAAAGGACAAAAATTTAGGCCTAAAATTTAGTTAAGGTCGAAAATTTGCCTAAAATTGGATGGGTGTTGGCCAGATTGGTTAGCTACTGTATGTGCAATTTGACTGGACAGAAATTGCAGGACTGAAGAATCTACTTTAGCCAATCACCATAGACAAAACAAGTAATGACTGCAGGTTGAAGGAAAGTAGTGGAGTAAAAGTACCAATACTGCACTAAAAATGTACTCAAGGTAAAGTAAAAGTACACATTTATAAAACTACTTAGTAAATTACAATTCCTGAGAAAAGATACTCGATTACAGTCATTTGAGAATTTATAATTTGTTACTTTACACCACTGCTGAAACAGTCTAAATAACTAGATCATACCTATGATATCGAAAATTAACTCAAAATTAATACAGGAGTAATATAACATATTACAAAACAGGGAAAAAATATTGTAATACTATAAACAAATACTTTCAAAGAACAAAAACTAATTATATATTTTGTATTACATTTTGGAAGTAATTTGTAAATGCAACCAAAGCACAGGATAGCAATAGTAAAATGGCTGTAATAAACTGCCAGTCATCCAAAAGAAATAGCGTGATTACTAGAGACTGTTGCAGTTTTTTGTAAATGTTGAGCAGCAATATTGATCAAGTGGAAGTTACTGCTTTTTGCCTTGGTACAACTTCTCACTTTTTGCATACAATACAAAGGCAGAGGACAGTAACTTCAAAATAGGGGTCAAAGGTCAGGTTTGAGAGGTTTTTGTATGTAAATAAATGTCATTACTAAAACATGTGAAAACATGTGACTGCTGAAAAAAGCAACTTAAACCAGCCTAAGCAGGTTGGCTGGTTTCCAAATGACCAGCTAAAACCAGCTATAACCAACTTGACCAACCTGGTTTAAGCTGGACGTAGCTGGTTTTGGCTGGGCTCCCATGTCTGGCTAGGCTGGTCAAGCAGGTTTTAGCTGGTAATCTCCCAGCCTGACCAGCTAAGACTAGGCTGAAAATGGCTGGAAACCAGCGTGGAAATGGCCAAAAACCCTCTAAAACCAGGCTGGTTGACCAGCTGAAACCAGCCAATCATCTTAGACTGGTTTAAGCTGAATTTTTTCAGCAGGGCTACCTATAACTAATTTGTCCGGCCAACAAAAAAGTCTTTAAAGTCATTTTTCTTAATTCAACCTTCTAGTGAGTTAAGATCTTTTACCTTTGAAGGGCAGAATAGGCAGGTAAGAAGTCACAAGTTAAAAGTGAGAATTGTCCCTCTGTTGCTTGAAAATGCTTTTCATAGAGGACGATCAAAAACATCACTTTCAAAATGAGGATAACCAGACAACGAATTTGTTTTTGTTTAAATTGAAAGTGGTTTTATCTTACAGTAAACTGTGTACACCTGCACATTCTGGTGTCAAGTCTAAAAATACCTTCCTACATAAAACAATAGTCTAAACTGGGGGCCGGTGGCAGATGTGGAGAGTGCTAGTTAGAGTGATTTATTTAGCTCTCTTACAGTATTAGGGCCCTGGGGAGCCATGGTGGGGCTACTGAATTCAGTCTGGGAGAACGTGAGGGGAAAACCAGCGCCTCTTCATGAAAAAAGGTATGCAGACTGCATGGTGTCCCCCAGGGCTATGTATGCGGCCTGCTCTCAGATCAGATATTTGGTCTTAGGTGGGTAACATGTCTCTGGGGAGGACATGCACAAAAGCTGACCACGGATCAGGTGCCACACTATATTGGTGCACCTCAGTGCACTTCAGTGAGCATCTCCGAACTCACTCACTCTCCCAGTGGGAGGCCACTTTCTGTTTGGGTCCTCAACAGTCCCCTGAGGGCTGGTGTGTGCAAGTGGTTGAGAGCTTGAGAATGTGTGTGCGAATGAATATACTGTAGGAAGTGTGTTAGTTATGTGAAAGGGATTTAAATGAAATCAAGAGCTGCTTGTTCAATGGCGTACATTCACATTAAAGGGTAAAAAACAGTCGTGGATAAAAAGAAGTTAAGTAGAGAGAAAAATGTAGCACACAGAAATGTGATTGCAAATAAAGAATGAGATGAGAGGGTGAGATAAAAGACTACAGGAAAGTCTTAGCTATAGAGAGGTAATAGTTTCAGTTGCCGAGAGAACTTACAGGAACGTTATTGATTCTCATCCGGCTCAAGGTCCTCCTGTAATAACTGAAGTCATTCTGAATGGCAGGATTTGTCATCTGAAAAACAACAAAAGACTCAATGTTTTTACTCACTTTACACTCCAATTCAAAAGTTTCAGTTTATAATACATAATTTTATTCAGAGTAGGATGCATTACACTCATCAAAGTGAAAGACCTTAATAAAGTTGTTTGAAGAGACACGCTTTTTTTTTTCAAATAACTGTTGTTATCCTAACTTACAAATAACTTAATGACAACATAATGTTTTTAAATACTTAGCATGTTAAAATGATTTCTGGAGGATCATATTTCCTGAAGACAGAAATAATGTCTGCTGAAAACTCAACCTTTAGTAGAAAAAAAACATTTATTTTATTTAAAGCACATTAACCCTTTTAAGAGGAATTTTTTACAGACTGGTTGAGCTTTTGTCCATAGGTTATCAATAAAATTTAAGAAAACAAAGTAGTGGTTTTAGTTGTGTAAAGAACATAATTATTAAAAAACAAAAAAATTAGAGCAAGTTTCATTAAAGCACTTTAGTTGTGCATGTTATTTTTTTTATACTGTTAATAAAACAAAGTACATGTTTTTATCATATTCCATCAGTCAATCAGGGCTGCATTTTCCACCACCACATCCTCCCAAAAATGGTCTATTGGATTGAGTTTTGGTGACTGTGGAGCCCATTCTAGTACAGTGAACTCATTGTTACATTCAAGAAACCAGTCTGAGATAATTTGCGCTTTAAGACATGGCGCTCTATCCTGCTGGAAGTAGCCATCAGAAGATGAGTACACTGTGGTCATAAAGGAATGGACATGGTCAGCAATAACACTCAGATAGGCTGTGGCGTTGACACGATGCTCAATTGGTATTAATGGACTAAAAAGTGTGCAAGAAAATATTCCCCACACCATTACACCACCATCCCCCAGCCTGAACCATTAACACAAAAGCAGGATGGATCCATGTTTTTATGTTGTTGACGCCAAATTCTGAACCTGCCCTCTGAATGTCGCAGCAGAGATCAAGACCCATCCGATCAGGCAACGTTTTTCCAATCTTTTATTGTCCAATTTTGGTGAGCCTGTGTGAATTCTAGCCTTAGTTTCCTGTTCTTAGCTGACAGGAGTGGCACCCGGTGTGGTCTTTTGCTGCTGTAGCCCATATGCCTCAATATTCGACATGTTCGGAGATGCTCTTCTTTATACCTCGGTTGCAACGAGTTGTTATTTGAGTTATTGTTACCCTTCTATCAGCTTGAAACAGTCAGATCATTCTCCTCTGACTTCTGGAATCAACAAGGCAGTTGTGCCCACAGAACTGCCGCTCACTGAATATTTTTCGGACCATTCTCTGTAAACCCTATAGATGGTTGTGCGTGACAATCCCAGTAGATCAGCAGTTTCTGAAATGCACAGACCAGCCCGTCTGGCACCAACAACCGTGACACATTCATAGTCACTTAAATCACCTTTCTTCCTCATTGTGATGCTTGGTTTGAACTGATCGTCTTGAGTTGCTACCATGCCATTGGCTGATTAGAAATGTGCGTTAACGAGCAGTTGGACAGATGTACCTAATAAAGTGGCCGGCGAATGTATATGGGTCTCCAAAGCAAGTTCACAGAAATATTTTTTGATCTTTTTTTTTTTTTTTGCCTGTCTGGTAAAAAAATAAAAATAAATTAAATAAAAATCTTGGTCCCTTTAAAAAGTAACAGATCAGAATTACACAATGCAGTTTTAGGCCATGTGCTGTGTGTCTTTTTAGGTTTGAACGATAGTAACTGTTAGACTTGTCTTAACAGCCATTAAAAAATAATAATAATAAATGCAAAAGAAGGCAAATCTCCGGGCACTTGCTAGTCAGACGGGACTAAAGTAGACAACTACAGTCTGGTAGCCTTGAAGGCAAAGAACACGGATTAGCTAAAGCTTTAGTTAAATGGCTACCAGTTCTTTTAGGTAATCAGAGCAATCTTTATCTGTCAGGACCTAGACTGTCTGGGATCCACACGTCCTTTATAGAAGCACTGTTTAAACCTGAAGAGTTCCGCAGTATTTGCAGCTTGTGACAGATGGATAAATATACTTAATGAAGACTCAAGTTCAATTTAGGGTTGGGTGACAAATTTTGTGACAAATGAGGGCGCTGCTTGTTAAGATGACTGCAAAGACGAGCTGCAAAACAAAGGTCAGTGAGATGAATGACCTCTTTGGGATTTGCAAGAGCAGAGGTCACCTATAATTATTGCAAATGCTCAGTGAACTTTGAATTGAGAAAGTAATTATTAAAACTGATATATTAAAGTCAGAAAAAACCAACTGAAACAAAAAGTACATTTTAATTAAGATTAATATAATGAATAGCCCTTAGAATCGGACAAAGAAGAATAAATGAAAGTTTGAATTGATGAATTAATGAATAAAAGAGTACTTTTTGTTTAGTGCCATATTTTATACTAGCTCCACTATACTAACTAACTAACTAACTAACTAACTAGCTAAATAAATAAATAAATATATAAAGCTTATTTTTACAAAGCTTGACAACACAAACTGTGTGTGTTTTCAGGTTTGATTATTTCTTTACATTAAACAATTCAACTTATGATACACTAAATATGTATGGAAATATAGATACGTGCTGGCAACAATATGGGCTCTATCATACACTCGGCGCGATTTGTTTTTAATTCCAGACTAGCGCAACCCGAATTTTCAGGTTTTGCACCTCGTTATTTAAATAGCAAATCCATTTGTGCCACTTTGTGGATTCATAGGCATGCTAGTGTAAAATAGAGGTGCGTTAAAGCGCATTGTTGGCGTGTTGTTATTTTGAATAACTGAAATAGACCGTGCCATCTAAAAGCAGGTCCTACTGTAAGTCCACCACAGAGCTTAAGTTATGCGCGTATGCAGGTCCAAACGCTTACACACTGCTTAATACACACACAGGATGTACAGCAATACATAAAAATCTTTACATATGAAAAAAAAAAATTGAATGTTACAAAAAATATTATTTTCCACATAAATGTAAAAATCACTGCCATCTTGGAGGGATTTTTCAGTTTATTCATGGCACATTTGCATTTGTATAATGTTATTATTATTGTCATTTGCATATTTATATTTGTTTTAATAAAAATACTTTAGATTTGTCCACCTGTCAGGTTTTGGAGATGTATGCATCACCATATGCGGCATAAGACATGTGTTTGGATATACAGTTGAAGTCAAAATTTTCAGTTAATTTTAAATTAATGTTCACTGTTTTTTTCTGAAAACAAGAATTTTTTAAATAGCTGAAAAGCAGGAAAGAAATACAAATACAATTATGCTAATAACCATACCAGGCAAAAGGTGTAGAAATTACATGAAATATGATATAGTATAAAAAATGACCTTTGGATAAAAGGAAACTTGGAAATTTTATAGTATTAAAAATGACAAACAAAAGTCCCTGATATTCATGGACTTTCTAAAAGATTAGTTTTCTATCTAAATTATAAAAAGATTTTCATGAAAGTATTGAGCTAGGGCCGGACAATATATCCTTTTAGAATCGATATCGCAAAGTGTGAATCTGCAATAGTCACATCACAGGGTCAAGTTGATCACAGTTCAGAATAAGTGATTTGTGGGGTTTCAAACTTGAACCTTTAAACTGAGTGAAAGACTTTCATTTGTATGTGTTTTTAAGACCTGCAACTGAGTAAGATTTAAGCAAACTGATGCCAAGAGGTTACAAAGATATATAAACCAAAATTAATTGTATTTAATTATTTAAACAATGAAAACTATATATATATATATATAATATATACATATTATTTTATATATTCTGTTATCTGTTCAACTGTATTATATTTTATGCAGATACAACTTTACAAAATGATCCCATTCAATGTAAAATGATGACATTATTAATTAATTTTCACCTTTTTCTGAAAAACAATATATATTTTTTGCTCGTCTAAAAAACAGCTGAAAAGCAGAAAAAATGCAAGTACAATTATTTCTAATAATGACAAAAGGCAAAAAGTGTAAAAATGACATAAAACATGATATGGTATAGAAAAAAATAGCTTTTGATTAATGGAAACTTGGAAATTTGATAGTAGTTAAAATGACAAACAAAAGTCCCTGATATTCATTGACCAGAAAAACTCTCTGATATTCAAAGTCTAGAATAGACCTTTCAGAATTGCATGATATTCCAGAAATTCCATGACCCCCGGGAACCCCGTTTAATCAATTTAAAAACAATGTATCATCATGACATGAGTAGCTCTTAGCCATTTACATTTTTTTACAGTGTTGGAGACCGCTGTTTTCAATAAAATCAAAATAATATCCTCAAATGACATCATTGTCAACAAAACTAATGCATGGCTGGAATCGAGTTCATACAGTGTACCGTCAGGCTAGACAGCCCGTCATTTCCCAGCAGCGCGCTGAGCTACGGCATTGGTGGGCTGAAGTAGGTCACTGCGCCAAGCTGAGAGGAGGGCATGGTTGGATGGAGGTTGGCATGCCACCTTACACCCCCTACCTTCTCGCATTTAGCAACCCCATCTGCGATGGGTGGGGGCCTCTTTAATTGGGACATCCCATCTCTGTGCCGCAGGGCGTTCGAGTGTATGTGATTGTTTTCATTAGAAAGAGCAGGAGATAAAGCCGCTAGTGTTGGTGCTGAGTTGAACAAGAGAACAGCCAGACGAAACGTAACATGATTTGTTTGGACACATAACCCGGGACAAATTAGGTGGTTTACAGTTCAGTCATTCAGGGTTGTGCGAGTGTCTGAATTTTGACATGGTCATAGGGCATAGAAATAGCTCATGCTGTCTTGACGAATAGAGGTATAAGTGTCTGTTCTGCTTTATTAGTCTGGCGTGCACAAACACAGCAGGTGTTTGTTTAAGCAGGGGATAAGACAATAAAAGAGAAATATCAAAAGATCGAAAGCTCTTTTTTTTTATGATCTTAAATGTCAAGAAAGGTTTGGTATGCACCTGGGGCAGTGAAAACTGATGCGTGCAATTATAAAGTAATTACCTTCTCATTAGCTGCCTTCTAATCACAATTAGCATGACATTGAGAATTGGAAGCTTGTAAGGGCATCACATTCTAGTCAGTCTCACCTTTTAAATAATAATGCTGAATATTTTTTTTAGATTTGCTGACTTGCATCCTGAGTTTTTAATGATAGATATATTTTAACTATGCATTTAATATTTTACGAGAGAACATTAATCTGATTTATTTCTACTCTCGACTATAGTGGTGTAACGGATCACGGTTGATCCATGATTCGTACCGATCACAAGCCAGAGTTCGGACACACGTGACCAGACAGATTAATACTTTTTTTGAATTCGTAGGTTAATATACAGATCATCTCCCACATCATTCAAATCACGTTTATGAAAGCATTTTGGCTTCCTTGTTAAATTTAATGATGACGGAAAAAGTTGTACCTTACTGTACCTAAATGCTTTCTTAGGTTATTAGTTAAAGGTGTTTTCTGTCACTGTTTGCTTATCCTGCATTAACGCATTCAGTGTAAAGCTGCACAATTAAACATTAAAAGATCATGATCTAAAACCCGCACAACTTGAATGATAAATGATGATTTGCACATATTTATTAATCATTAGAAGCGCTGCATTCAAATCTGTGTTTGATCGAGAGATTTAGTTTTGCACTTTTTCAGTTACAAACAGTCAATTAACACAGAAGTACTGGGAGAACAGCTTAAACTTTAGATATAAACACTGATGTTTATGGTACTTTAGTTAGTTCATGTTTGGACTACTGTAATGCACTTGATATTGCAGTTAACAGGTCATGTTATTGTTTGCAGCTTGTGCAAAATATTGCTGCTTACATGGTAACTAACAGTTAGAAAAGTAAACAAATAACACCAATTGTCTACTCCCTCCACTGGCTCCCTGTTAATTTTTAGAATTGATTTTAAACTTTTGATGTTTGTTTTTAATGTAGTCAATGGCCTTGCTCCTACTTATTTATGCAAAATTTTAACACATTCCCAAACCTAGAGTTTTGCGACCTGCTGACCAACTTCTGCTTGAAGTCCCTCGTTCAAGATTCAAGCAGTGGGGTGATGGCTCTTTTGCAGTGGCAGGTTCTAAACTTTGGAATACGTAAAATCACTGACCTGCCACTTTTTAAAGCCAAACTTAAGACCCACTTTTAATGCATAGCACTGACAATATGTTTTAATGTTTGTTGTAAATTATTGATGTTTATTGTATTGTTTTGCATTATCTGTCTTTTTGTGTTGTATAATTTGCTTTTATTTGTGTAAAGGACTATGATTGATTGATTGATTGATTGATTGATTGATTGATTGATTGATTGATTGATACTAAAGATTAAAATCACTGTTTAATGGATCTTGGTGTTTTAGCAATTACATTGTGTAACCAATAGGTGGTGACAAACAACCATTAAATTGATGTCACTGAATAGGTTTTCAAAAATGATCCACTTATAATGAAACAAAGTTTTTTGTGTGAATTGCTGAATCATTAATTGAAAATAAATATGATATGTTGTACAAAATGTTAGATTTCTATATTTAGCATTATCAGCAACAGCAGCAAATATCATTTTTTGTATTAAATATTTTCAACCTTTTTTCAACTGGCTTTCTTAATTTTGATTTTCATTAAAATTACAGGTTCCAAGTTTTGTTTGCTAAACCAATGGTTTTTGCAGTAATATCTATGTATAAATGGAATGAAAAAGACATTTGTCTCTTCTCCCTTTTGCTGTTCCAAAAAATAGTGCTTGACTCAAAAACCGTAGTGTGATCTGAACTGTGAGATTAAAGTGACTATGTTTACATGGACACCAATAATCTGATTTTAATATGATTAAGACAGTATACTCGGATTAAGAGTCTACCATGTAAACAGTGATTTTTAATTAATTTAATTCAATTAAGGTCATAATTTAACTAAACAGAAATCAAATTAAGACATGTGGAGTATGCTGATTTTAGTCGCATTATTGAAGAGCAGTACAGACATGTAAACACCTTACCAAACCATTACCATTGTGTAGAAATTTTGCTGCATTTTGCGACAGGACAGTCTGTACACACACGGCTGTGTGACACTATTCTCTGCACCTACTGAGTCAGTAAAGAACCACACCTACATTACAAAATGCAGAGGTTTTTTTTCCCATACAGCATGTGGTATCAAATTCAATTAAAACAACAATCTTCCAGCAGTTCCTCGAATCCAATATCTCATTTGTCATGAAGGGCATGCATGAAACGTTCCTGACTGAAAGTGCCAAACTGGAGTTAAAGTCGACAAATTTAAAATGAAACTCAGAAGAAAATGTGAATAGCGTCGTGGTGCAATGATGTTAATCAAACTATGTGCTATAACATGCAAAACAGGATCATGAAAGCAACATTTAAAAACTCATATAAACACCATAATCATCACATTGTCTTATTTAGCAAATAAATAGATTACTGATGCCCATTTAAACGTAGTCATTGTTGTGAAACATAAAAACAACATTGCTCCGGTTACATTTCGTTACACCTTCCAGATGACAAATCCACTGGAGAATGCTGTCTAAATTTTAGTGAATCTGAAATACACTGCTTAGGGTGCATTTTGTTATACTGTATGTTTCAGATAGACTTTTACAAGGGGCTTTTCAGAAGGATCATCTAGCGAACAAATGACTTAAACTAAAATAATAGATTTTTTTTCCAAAAGCAAACAGGAGAAAAGTGAATTGTAATCACATAGTTTTACTTTGATTTTACATTGGTTTTAATATTAGTTTTTTTTTTTTTTTTGTGCTCTGCATTTCAAGTACAACACCATGAAAAGTGAGCAACCCTGCCAGCAAAGTTGTATACAGTATATAGAGGTAAACACATAAACCAAAAAATATGATTACAAATTCTGCCGTTATATTGTTTATACCATTCAGTCGTTATGTGGTTTCTATTTTTGTGTTGTGCAAAGAACTGCACAAAAACGTTCCTTTATTTGTCAATCATAAGTCCTTTTAAAAATCACTAGTGTGAAAAGAAACATAAGTCAATGAGATCAAATTAATTTCATCCATCTTTAATTTTTACCTAGAAACTGTAATCAAACATATGTTTAAGTACAATTTTCAGTTTTACAAAAAAATAGGCTCAAAAACATGTTTCAAATGAGCCTGTGTTGACAATTTTTTTTTTATGAGACTTTTGACCAGCATTGTGCCAGCGATCTAGAATCAGTGCACACTTCACACTCAGTGACTCGACGATTGGATTGGTATTAACATTTAGCTTGTACTAGGATTCCATTTTATGCAATAATCACAACAGGAAAATAGTAAACAAAGAAACAGTTAGCAGCATATGGTCCTCACCTTGAGCTCGTCAAAGCGCAGTGTGAAGTGCAAGATCTCAGCAAACTGTTTGGCGAGGGCCTGTTCTCTCTCCAGATGCTGTGTGGGGTCATCGTATGTCTCACTTGTGAGTGCTCTTAATAGACTGTGCAGCGCTGCTTCTGTAGAGGAATACAAGAGAACATTATAATTGTTGTTGTTCATTAAGGTTATTATTATTAAATTTGACCTCTTTTTAAGATAAGTAATTTGTGTATCCAGAATGTGTCTGTAAAGTTTCAGCTCAAAATACCCATCAGATTATTCATTACACCTTTTTCTGTATACTGGAAATTTGAGCTGTTAAGACACTGTAGCTGTTTTTGTTGCCTGTGCCTTTAATGCAAATAAGCTGGTTCTCCCCGCTCACCGTTCCCATGTGCATTTTAGAGCCATAGAGATCTATTCCTCTGATGCATAAAGCCTTCCAATAGATATACAGCACAGTGACAGACAAGAATGAAGCATATCTCCATTACTACAATAAGAACTTTCCCGACTGCTATTTGATATTTTTGTTGTGGAGTTAATTCAAGCCTTTCTGCAATGATGAGTCACACATAATGTCGCTAAAAAGTGCAAACACACACACACACACACACATACATTTAGCTTTGCACAGTTTGTGACAGGGTACATGTTATTATTTACTGCTGTATGGACATCCTGTTATTGTACAAAATAAACCTGATTTAAGTCCACAAACCAGGATTGAAGCATCTTCTTTTATAATTGTACTGACATGCGGCTGTGGTGATGAATTACATAGTGATTTTACTGTATTTATTACAAACATTCACTCTTTTAAGATTGTTTTAAACTTGTAAAACTCATTCTTGAGGTGCAGATGATCACAGTAAGCTAAATAGATATTTTAATCCCAGTTGCTTTGCGCATGTCCTATCTTGTGGATATGATTCCGTATTACTATGGCGGCATGTTAATACACTGCTGTCATTCAATTTGGTAACGCATTTGGGAAACCGCACTCAATAGTCACATTATGGTGGGCCTAAAAATGGAAGGTTGAGCTATTTTCAACGTCAGAAATTTATAAAAAAGAGACTTACTGTCTTTATATCACCCCAAAATGTCTGTGGACACACTATGTGTACACACAGTTCTGTCCAAAAAGCTTACAAAAGTTGTCTTTCATCATAGGTGCCCTTTAAAGTCTTAAAATGTATTGTTGTTTATTCATTCATTCATTTTCTTGTAGGCTTAGTCCCTTTATTAATCCGGGGTCGCCACATCTGAATGAACCGCCAACTTATCCAGCACGTTTTTACACAGTGGATTCTCTTCTAGCCACAACCCATCTCTTTGCAGTGTTTCTCTATAGACAGCTTTCCCGCATTCTACATCTCAGATAATGAACTCGCAAAAGATATGTGAAGGATTCATATTACTTACACATGCTTATTCGGAATATATGTGAAAGATGCCGTGTAACGCGTTGAGTTAAAAAAATACAGGAGAGCTCGCCTAACTCGTGTAGCGGCAGAAAAATAATTCAAAGCTCACACAGGTCGCATCCCACATCTTGTGCTTTATTGTTCTGTCAACAGGGTCACTGTATATTAGAGAAAATAACTTAATCTGTGCATCAAAGAAAAAAAAATAAACATCTGTCCCGCGCACATGCGCTTCTTATGTTACACACGTCTACAGACTGTTGACACACACACATACAAAGGCGATCTGTCTTAAAGGAGCCGCACCCGATTTTAACTCATTACAGACCCTTGTCAGATTTTATTTTAGAGAGCAGGCATGAGGTTGACTGACTGTTTATACAGTACAAAAGTGCATGCTTGTACGGGCGTGACATGAAGATGATCCACGAATCACAGCACATTTTGACACATGACCAATCAGAGTCACTTAAGAGCAGATCTTTCAGAGGAACTAGGAAATAGGACAGTGTTTTTCATGTTACCATGAAAACAGCAGCCCTCACGGCCAAAAAACGGACCGACCCACCGGGAATACTCTCAGTCCTCCCAATTAGCCAATAGGGGGCTGCATGTGGACATAAAACAAAGTCTAAATAGCATGTAAAAATCTAATTTACAACAAAATTGTGGCAATATTGAGTGGCTAGTAATGTTGAAAAACTACTAACCACAGTGGCTGCTGATTAAAAACGGTAATGTTAAGCTCTGATTACAGTTATATTTAAATTCTTACAAAACATATATAAAAAAAACAAGGTGCCCCTTTATTTTGATGGTCTATTTTAGTATTAGTAGACTGTCTGCTTATTATCTGTTCAAACTGCTCCTTCAACAGACATTTAACTGACTATAAGAAACTTTGCAAGTACATGTCAACTTACACTAACCCTAACCCCAACCTAACATTCTACTCATAACCTAATGAGAATTAGATGGCATGTAGATGCAATGCGATTTCAATTCAACAAGCGAACCATCAAAATAGAGTGTGACCATAAACAAAAACCAAAGTACCCTATGATGTTAAGTTTGCAAAATTGCTCAAGAAAGTCCTAATGCATCGTAAGAGACAGCAATGGAAAAAATACAAGCAGAGTCTGGCTAGAGTGGCTTTAAATAAATGAATAAAATAAAAGACATACAAAGAGCATACAAATTAAATCTGTTCGAAGAGAATGCTAGTATTTTCAGCTAGCTTTATGTGTGTGTGTGGGTGTGTGTGTGTGTGTGTGTGTGTGTGTTTATTAATTTACACTTAGAAACAGTAGCAATTAATCCTGTATGAAAATGTAGAGAGCAAGTAGCTTTAGTAACTCCCATATGGCCCAGAATAACCAAGTGTTTTTAAAATGTAAAGTTTACATGGTCAAGTCTATGTAGTCACACAGATTTTTTTTTTCCAAGTGAAAAAAAAAAAAGGGGAAAGGGAATTTTCAGGCTTGTGACTCGAGCAGCCTTGTGCAGAGTAAATTGAGCAGATTTGCTGTACAGTAATGACCTCCATCTGCTTTAGTCGGCTTGGCAGGGCAGAGGAGCTGATTAAAAATGGCTATGGAAGCACACTATTCTCTTCCCAGTCAAAACAGAGCTTGAGACGAGCGGCTTTTAAGGGCGCATGCTGCGAATGGAGTGTGAGTCAAGGGCAGCTGATGAGAGAAAAAAAAAAAAAAAAAGAGCAGGATGAGTGAGTGTACGTCCCATCATATCACATCAGGAGAACCCAAGAGACAAGAGTCAAAATGTTTAAAAAAATAAACAAAAATTTGAGGAATCTTTTTTTATATGGTAGTATAATGATGTTTGTGTTGCATCTTTTTTTTGTATTCTCCTGTCCAAGGACAGCAAATGAAATTTACAATTCTCGTGTATTTTTCAGACTTTCCATTGCCATTGTTAAATGAATAAAAAATAAATCAGATAAAATAAAACCCGAGTAATTTAAAAGGAAAAGGGTCATTAAAAAATGGAAAACAAAAGAAAACATGCATGCATATTTATATATAATACACAAATCTGTAATAATTGCTTCTGATTGGTCAATCATGGCATTCTAAGGTGTGGTCCCCCAACATGTTCAATGCAATTCAGTTTCAGTTTATTTTTATAGCGCTTTTCACAATAATTATAGTTTTAAAGCAGTTTTACAAAAAGATGCATGATATTGCATTACACTTTAATTAACTAACTACTAATTACTTAATCAGTTAACATTATTATATATTTAGTTAATGTGCAGTTAATATTATTAGTGCTATTTTTAGCCACCTTAAGAAATATACTTTTTTTTTTCAAATGGCAACAGAACAAATCACAGATGTCTGATTACTTTATTAAAGTCCTGTTCAGATCACATGTTTTTGTCACAATTTTGTCACAATTTTCTTGACTTGGGTTGTCGTTACAAAATTGAATTGCTTCTTCTCATATAATGTGGCTTCGTTCAAGACAACCGATACCAATTCTGCAACACCATCACAGAAAGTCAAGCATGTATAACTTTTTTCCAATCTTCATGACACGTTCTGTCTCGTGGGTGACACTGGACAATAGGAGCACATAATTTATCAGTCATATCGGCGGGTGCTGCCATTAATCCGTGGGACAGGCAATCAAAAAATAGGCTGAATATTTACTTATAGGTGGGTTTCAGGTGGATAAGATCAGTCATTGATTATGCAATCTTTAACTACTTTCTCTTAAGTATTTAAGTGTTTTAAGCAATTTTATTTGACAGACTGGCACAAATATGCAGACATCTCTCTTCTCACAATGAGTTTCTGAGTTCTCTCATCCAGTTCGTTCTTCCGAGGTAATCTGGAAACACGTTGAGTGCTGCTAATACATTGTAAAAGCCTGTCTTGCTTATTTAAAATACTTGATTAAACTAATTAAATTGAAACTCACCGGCAATGGATGATTTTGTCTTTAAAAATGAAAACAGTTTAATATAAGTTTCTCTGAAACTTTGAATATTTCACTTTAATTTTATCTAGGCTATAGATTAGCTATTTTGTTATTTAACAAACCAGTTTGGCACTGAAGCATACAGCGGACTGGTTATTCTTGTTTATATAGTAGATAACTGACCAAAAAATACATTAAAATTAAGATACCAAACAAAATTTGTTTCGAAAAGATTTTTTTTTTCAAGAAAAATATACAGATTTTTTTGTGTGTGTGCCTGTCCACTAACTGTGTGGGTAGATGATGTGTTTCCACTGCAATTGTTGTATAACAAACCTCTTTTATAAGTTTGCAATTTTTTATATATATATCATTATTTTGTCTTGAGCATCTGATTTTTTCTTGGTGCTGATGTGCTTTCATTTTCTCCCTCTCACTCGTGGCACGTTCAGGTGAGGGAGTCTTTAATAAGCAACCCCGGAAAATATACATTTAGATTTAAAAAAAAATCTTAATATTAAAAAGGAAATGCGTTTGATCCTATCACTGTCACAATGAATTCCCTTAAATAATGTAGCCTAGTTGTCAGCAAGCATGAGTGTGCATTAAGATTGACTTAAGACGAAATAAACATTAAAATTAATAAGTAACAAAAATATTTTTATAACAACACTTGTGACTGTTTTGGGAAATAACGCTCATCGTAGATGTTGTGGGGTAACTGATCATGAAGGAACATCTAGTCTGGCACCTTTGTTACC